TAGCATTAATTGGGCAGTTAAAAGCAAACAGACAAACAAATAGGTTAGGTATAATAAATTATCATGTTATGCTTGATCTCAGTATGGATGCATGAAATGCAGTGCTGGTAGAGAAAGGTTTGTGTAAGAAGCACGTACATCAACCATTGATGGGTTGCAGAGGTGGATCAGGTCCAGAATTTTCTTTTTACTGTCAGTATGGAATAGGTGTTCTTCAAAAGAGGTTGAGAACCACGGAGGATAGTATTGAATTGTATCATTTCCACCAAGAGAGCTATACATTGGGGAAAATATTAGATAAAGAAAAAGTAAATTGTTGAAAAGTTACATTGGAAGCAACTTACGCAGAGCGCAAAATATTTGCCAAATCACAAGATGGTTCTAGCACAAAGCGTGTGGCAGGGGTGCTGGTCAGAAATATGGCGTCTTGGAAAAACAGTGGAAAAGTAGGTATCAATACATGATAATTTAGATAAGTCAAACCATTAGTTGTCAGGTAGAAAGCTGCGATCTAACCTGTTGTCACATCACTTATCTGAAGACTACATACACCTAGTACAACAGAACCAGAACGGCCAAGGTATGCTAGTTCTTCCCCATCTAGAGATCGTGCAACATCGCCACAGATGGCGATATTAAGGCGTACATGCCTGCAAAAGTACAGCGAAACAAAGACAATGAAAAAAAGAGGAAATAAAAGATAACAAATGAAGGACTGGAAAAGTACACAAGTGTAATGCATCGAAAACCTCTCGTTTTGTATGACCAGCTTGCGCCTAATAATAGCATGAGCTGAGGTTACTGAGCATGACAGAATAGCTACGGGCACAACTTTGCCAACAACATCTACATTTGAAGAGGTTGGCAAACATAGTCAGCTCGCCAACTGTAATGGTGAAATTGAAGCGGAGTTCATGAGTTTAAAGTAGTTTGATAGGTAAACCTATTAGCTGGTTTACTGAGCGAGGTAAGGAGCACAAGGAGTTGAAGCCAACAAACTCAAACGAATTAGCACAAAAACCAGGCGACATCATGGTCACATTATCAAATATGGTTTCTTGAGAAAGAACCAAATTCAATGTATGGGAGCAAGGACGCCACATCGTTTGTGGTTGTTGTAGATGGAATCTAGCAACTAAATATACACAGCCCCGTTGCAGGATTATGCCAAAATGGGCAGCTAAATTTGACGGGGCGACAACTTGAATCAATGTTCCCTGCGAAAGTAGGTAGCAGGCGAAACAATAGAGATGACTCAGGATCAGAAATGTTATTGGAAAATAGAAAAACTGAAAGCAAATAGCGTGTTACCTTCGCATCGGTCCAGAGACTGCAATATGGTTTTTCTAGGTCGTCAGATACCCAAACATGTAGGAATCGTAATTTCAGAATAGTTTCTAGGTCTTCAGTTCCATTAAGATCGAGAAGTAGCTTAGGAGTAGACATCGCCTTTCTGTGAGGAAATAGAGGAAGAAGGTCAAAGTGAGAGTAAGAATAAGAAAGGTGGAACAACAGTAGCGTTATTCTTCTGGTGAGGCAAACAGAAGGGTCAGGAAATTACGACGCAGGCAGAGTAAAAATCAGGGTGGAAGGTAGACGAAATGAAAGGAAAAGAGGAAAGAAAGGGGATAATATCGGTCATAAGTGTTGGGCTAAAGGCCCAGATGGAAGAGTCGGGTTGTATTTTTTAGGTGGGGTTTTTCCAACATCAAATTTGTATACTGGAGCATCAGATATCGTTGCTGATGGGAAATCGAAAACCACAAATGATGTATATAATTCTGGATAAAAGGGAGGCATACAAAGCAATGTTATTTCTAAGCATTTGAAATAAACATTAGATTCGACGATATGAAAAGATAATAATAAATACGTAATAATAGGCGGTTCCTGCTTCAATAATCATAATGTTAAAGATCACATATGGGAAACGGTGGTAGTAGGCAAGAGAATTGTTGTCATCACTTCTAATATTCAAACAACTCTTAAATCACAAAGTCCATAGTAGGGACCAATTGGCTAACTGAGTACTTTTGTGGCAATGACATATCGGTACATATGCAAAAGTAATTCCCAAAATGTGTCCTAAACATTCACAATAGATTCAGGCTGACTCAACTACCTGATTAAGTCAGGTGGTAGTTGTTGCTGCGAAATAGACAGATCAACAAAGATCTACAAAATATGTGCATCATGTTCAGGGAACGGCATGTACATCAAAAAAGATGACCTAAAGTGTTGTCAATTATGTCAGGGCTTAAGTAGAAACAGCGAAGGGTGGTTAATCAGTAGTAGTTTCCTGATTCAAAATGGAGCTGGTCGAAGTTAATGTTCAATCGTCGAACGCACAGCGATCCCAAAGTGTCGCAACCCTAATATGTGGCACGGTGCTTTGACCTGGGTTCGGCCATGCAATGTACAGTTTTGCTGCGAAGGTCTTCTTGCAGTTTTTCTTTATGATGGCTTTTATTTCATCTTCGTTCAGTTTGAGATACTTTGCCGGTAGCATGCAGATTATCGACAGAGCTGCCTCGTGATTAAGTACAACATCAGCCTCGGATGATTCAGATTTGCAACTTGCTTCGATTTGGTAATGCAGTCTGGTTATAATAGAAGCTCATTAGCTTTGTTGAGAATAATGCAAGCGTTCATTGCCAAAAGTGCAAATGGGTCAACTTAAATATTTAATCTCACCTTGGCGTTTCCTGAGTGGTTCTGCAAATGTCGTCTTTGTATTTGACATGAGTGAACTTGATTATGATTCGGTAGAGGATCTGAAATATAAAAATTGTTTTTGCTAGGTTAGAGTGCATGGTAATAGCAAGTGACACACATTTTAATGTCTGGATTTTACAAATTATCATAATATACCTCACGATGTTATGGTTCTGAACTCAAGTCTTCTTTTATCTGAGCAAGTGTTCTTCTTGGGGGCCGAGGGTAGCGTAAGTATCCCATCCTTTCAGCTGTTCCATAGATAATGTACTTGATTGGTTTGCGGCATGTCAGAAACCTGAGTTTTGCAAATAGTTGTTTATTATGTTAGGCTAAGTTGTTGCAATGAAAGCATATTTGAAGCGAACAAATTGTCTTAGAGATTGTTAGGAAATCACTAACACCTGTTCATGACTGTTTCAGTGGCCTCATTGTATGATCTGATAATCAGACGACTGGCTTGTGTCGATTCCAGCTCATATATACCATCATCGTTGCATTTATGGGGCACGGCGACCACCGATGTATTTGTGGTTATCAGCGAGAGGTGTGACTCTACATCTGCTGCTTGTTGGAGGTAACCAACGCCATCGTAGCCACAGTACTGCACAGCAGCCTTGTTCCCACTGTATTGCAAATGCAAACAAAATATAAATCATTTGATGTCGAAAGTTTTAGCGATCTTAGGTACATAGTTTTGTATACCTGTAGTCTTTAATAACCAGATGGAAATCAAGCATGCCATTTTGAAGTACTTTTGGTAATGTGATTCATCGTACGCAGCCTGTGACATATGTAATTGCATAGATGTTATGGGATTTGTAGTGTGTGTTGGCTGTAAAAGTGAAGTACTGTGTTTTACCTGCATGGCAGTGGAAACTTGTAAACTTTGAAGGGACCACTGAGAAATGAAAGTTGAGGAATGAGTCGAGGGGAAACTTAGGATTGTTCTGGTCTTCTTCGATGCTGTCAATCAGTTGTTCAGAGTTCATGAGCAGCCGCAGTTCTCCTGGGACAATCCGTTTGTTCTTACTCGAGGGAATTGCAACGATAATGCTTAGGCGATGCAGACGACCAACTTTGATCCTCGCCATCATGTCATCAATGTCCTTTTCATATGCCAGAGCTTCAATAACTCGTTTCTGCGGGATTAGCAGGTGTAAAAGAATGTTATAAATAAGCAGTAGGTGTTTTTTTTTTGCTGGGAAATCGTAGGCAAACCTTTTTGTCCATCCAGAGCATACGCAGTGCTGGCTTTTTCCAAAACTTTCCGTCAATGACTTCTGTCCACGTTTTTAGAAGGCGAGCTATCACAGTACGGTTGTTGGTTCCCAACCGCAAACCTCGAAACGTCATCGAAGTACAAATGGGGTCTACAATAGAGACAAAAAACACACTAAGTAGAGTTACCATTTCGGGTAAGGTTGCGAAGCAATCGAAATCCAGTAGCAATTCAGACCTACAGAAACACAAACATCGAACCTTGGGGATCGGTGGGGACCTCGTAATCCCGCGAGGCGACTGGGTTGTCTCGGCGGAAAACTGCCATAGTTCATGGGTCCGCTGAGATGGAAGGAATATAGATTAGAGAATTGTGATGTTTTTTTAGTGAGTGGTGTGCTTAGGACCAGACAGTGACATACCTTGGCGCTAGGGTTTTGCACAGTGGTCGAGAGGTGCCGCTTTTACCACCGATGCTAGCGAAGATCTGGAACGATGTCTGTTTTGTCGAAGGAGGCCATAGCGGGGCATAGGTAAATTGAATGCGGGCCTAAAAATACAGGCCGGAAGGCTGATTTGGGCTTTCTAGTAAACATAGTTGTTGTCACGTGTAACTATGTTTTTATCCTTAGGAATCTTTAATGAAGCTCTCTGTTTTGTTTGGGTAGAAAAACAGTGTGAGGCCCAATGCATTTCTCTGGGCCATAAACAAATGGATGAAGCCGCTCATATGTTCTGAGGATCAAATGTCCAATTGAATCAGTTATTAGGGAGATTACTTAGTGAATTTCAAAAACTTATGAAGAACCCAACTCCAGGAAATTAACAGGATAACGTCGAACTAACCCAGCTACTGTACTGATAAACGCATTGCATATATTTATCCCTTTCCCGCCGCAACTTGAGCATTTTACAGTAAAGGATGACAAAAAGAGTTGCCAACACTTACAAAAGGAAAACAGAATTAATTACACACAATTGAAGATGCTAAACGTGGTATGTTCATCGCACACATCTGGACCCAAAACCCATGAACTTAACATGGCCATGTCATTAGGGGAAGTCTAAGCTTGCAGTATATCTGCAAAGGCTTCCCTGAAAATGATATTTCGTGTGTAGTCATTCGGAATATCGTCGGTGTTTTTAATCAAAATTCGTAAACCTTTGGCTGATTTAACTCTTGAGACTCCCACATACAGCTGGCCATGACTAAACACAGGTTCGGGCAAATAGATCCCAACCTTGTCGAGCGTTTGGCCTTGGCTCTTGTTTATTGTCATGCCATAACACAATCGAATTGGAAATTGCCGACGTTTAAGAGTGAATGGCCACTTGGGGTTCTCCACATTCAGTACAATTCTTAGAATGATAACTTCGTCGGTATCACCAAAACCACCCATGATAGTTCCCTTGATGATATCATTGCCCAGCGATGTGATCATAACTCGTGTCCCGTTGCATAGACCAAGACCTAGACTGATGTTACGAAGCAACATAACAGGAGTATGGATCTTCAAGGTAAGTTCGTGATCTGGGATCCCATTGAATGTCAAAGAATTGAGAAATTCTGTCGGGTAGCACTCTTCGAATGAGTCGGCTGTCTCTGTTGTTTGCAATAGTGAATCTGAACTGTAGTATGTTTTTCCTGGGTCTGGAACGGCACCATGATCCAACATGTATTTGTTTAATTCAGAGACAGTTGCATTCGTCGGAGTCACAACTGCCCTATTTGCAAGATAGAATGGATTTTTGTAATTTTCTGCAAACGAATCATAGATGTCTGTTGCAAGAGATTCAATAGGATCAGCACCATGATCCACTAAAAAAACCTGCGGGATTTGCACCCAGTCTGCTGGGGTGTCTTGCCGGAAAGATCTTGTTTTGAGGCAGCCATCTCCCAAGGCAAGAACCCACTGTGGAAATGTATAGCCATGAAGGAACCGTTCTTCGTCTGCTAGGGAATCATTTATTCTCATATTTGTTGACAGTTTCAGAATTTTAAAAGAATCCCAGAGAAGAGATCGAGTTAGGGAGCCATCTACTGTCTGCTCACGGCCAACCTCCGTTATAACAGGGAGTGTTTGTCTGAAGTCTCCACCAAACAGCACAGTTTTACTGTAACACCCTACCCCATACGTATTACCTAATCATATTGTTCATACAATTGCAGCGGAAATAATATCGGGTGTTACATTAATTATCAAAATTTACCCAAATAAAATTTCGACATGAATTACTCGCGTAATGGGCTAACAGTTCTTCCATCTAATCCTGCAAAATAATTCATCTAAATCCATGCCTTCATAGACAAACATATACTCTCACTGCCATATGCATTATCTTTTCATAGCCATAGTCACAGTTTCATGTTACACAACTGCATACTATACTGATACATGCCATAATCGTCACAACTTACATAATTACACAAATATACACATATCATCAACTTTCCACGCCTTTGGATATCTCACACTACATCAGAAGCTAGTATGCACATGAAAAACGTTCTCAAAACATTTTACAAAAAGGTGTGGATCACTGACCAAAATCTCAAGTAGTCGTCCAAGCACAGAATAGTTGAAGACCATACCTCATCTTGACTTCAACTCTAGCTCCTCTCCCACCTAACACCTATCTACTGCTGCTGTTGATGATCTACTTACACATAGCATAAGCAGAGAAAAAGGATAAAGAGGGTCAGCTCATAGCTGAGTGAGATAATCATAGCATCTTGAGTTCATAACAGAGCATACCCCTACCATACAGCTAGCAAACAAGCCAAAGCACTAGGTTCAGACCTCGGGCATCCGACATCCCAATAGGCAAAAGACTCAACCACCTTGACTTATGCATATGCATCTTTATCATGTTTTACTTATAGGCGCCTGGCTACTCCCATGCTAATAACTCTCCCGGGAAACATACCCCACACCCCGTCGGATGTAGTCATACATACCCCAACATCCCGTCGGATGTGGTCATACATACCCCACACCACTATGGGTGTAGTCATACCCCGACACCACTCTGGGTGTGGTCATATCTCATAAGAAATCTTCAGTCACCACCACAAGAGAGGTGTGACTATCATACATATCATAATAGAGTAATAGCATAGGGAGCCCTAATTACTATGTAGTTGACCGTGAGACCACAAACTCATATTTGGTATCCTTATACATGATTCATATCTCATCTTGCTTAATCATAATTCATTACTTGCACATGTACTTGACCTGGCCATAATTGGCTCAACATAGGGAAATCAGGAGTCGTATAATTGCACTTCCTCAGGATAAACCCTCGTGCAAGTCATCCTCCTTAAACATCATAATATCACCAGGGAATATATATTTTCCCACTTGTGCATCCAAATACAACAATCATGAAAAATCATACCTAATCACCTTCGCGAACCATCGTAAAGCATATTAACAGTCAAGCCCACAATTTGCAACATATACACAATCATCAGCATAAACAAGGTTCATATCGATTAGGGCAAGTCAATAATATCATACAACAATCCAGGGTTCAACATATAGCACAAAAGTTCATACACCCCTAATCATGCCATTCTAGTTCACCTAGATCAATTCTAAGCATCAATATAATTATCGTGATACGACAAACCCGGTATGCCGTGCTAATCCCTCACCAGTTCTGGTCGTTCAAACACCGGTTTAACCTTCCCGTACTAAAACGTCAATTTTAGGAACGAACCCCGAATTAAAATCCGAGACCGTCCTAATATCCCCTACAGTATCCCCGTCAATATTAGTTCTAGGCTCCGGGTCAAATTCTCGATAAAAACACATCAAACCTTTGCCGGAGCTAAATTCAGCGATTTGGACCCCGACCTAAATAATTGCCGAAATTCAGGGATTAGAACTAGAGGATTGATTACCTCGTTGCAGGAAGCTCGTATATGAAATTTGGGCTCAATCCGGCTTCCGGATACTCCGAAACCCTAATTTGGCTTATCGGGAATTCAAGAAATTCCTGAACCAAAAACTCGTTTTAAAGCTCTAAATTGATAAATCACGATGAATAGATGAATTAGGCATTACTTACGGGATTTTTGGATCACTAGAACTCAAGAATTGAGCTTGGGAATTTTCCCCCGACGTTCCCCTGAACTCTTCTGCTTGCTCTGTATCTCTCGGTTCGGAAATTAGAAAAGGAAAGATGATGATGGAATAAAAGTGACGGGGAAGGGTTTATATATATATGGTCCGACATTAATTATATATATATATAATTAATACGTATACTTATCCGATCGATCGATAATCCGATTTTCGTCGAAATACTATCAAAACGTTCGGTTTTAAATTGCGAACTTTCTAGCGATCGAAATAAGAGTTTTGCCGAAATGGGATGTTACATTTACCCCCAAAAAACTTGTATCTCTCCCCCCTCAATGGTATGTTCATGATGTCACATAAGGTACGATCCACTGCCTCAAAAGCTTGACGATGCGTCATGGACGCCTCATCCCATATTATCAAAGAAGCCTCCTTGAGTAATTCTGCCATGTGTGTCCCTTTCTTGATTGGGCAGGTTGAAGATGCATCCAATATAAGGGGTATCTTAAATCTAGAATGAGCAGTAGTTGCTTTAGGCAATAGTGTTGCTGCAATGCCTAATGAAGCAACTAAAATGACGATCTTTGATTGGCTTCTTAATCTTGCTGTGATCGCGTTATATAGGAACGTCTTGCCGGTTCCCCCATGGCCATACAAAAAGAATAGACAGCCCACATTATCGTGAACAAAGTTGAGCACTGCTGAATATACATGGAATTGTTCCATGTTGAGGGACTGCAACATTGTGTCTGATAAATCACGCTGCTGTTGCACATCAAAGTCCAAGTGATCATTTATCAAGGTATTTTTTCCATCATCAGTTGGTGCATCTGTTGGCAGTGGGAGATTAAAGGCTTGCAATGATGATGAGTGAAAGGCAAGAAATTGTTGTAGCTTGTGTAAGACCCAATTCTTAAGTCTTTCATCGCTCGGCAAATTAGCTTCAGGACCTCTGGTTCTGCTGACACTGTATGCATAGTCATCTCCCATAAAACGCCAAGTTGAATTGAATAATGCCACAGGGTTTGGAATCTCACAAAACATCAGCATGGTCACGAAAGTAGTTCGAATTGTTCTCGGCATGCTAGAGGAAGCAATCTCAGCAAGTACCCTTATCCACTCCGATGAGCCAGACAAGAGACCAAATTTGTCACAAGCTTTTTCAAAATCTGGGCACACCTCACCTTCAACGGTTCTCAGATGAGCATAACTCATGGCACCGCGAACCTTGGTCAGCATAATCCTCAAGAAAAACACATCTCCAGACCCCGGCGGTACATATGCAACCCGACCAATCGCAAACCCTCGCTTACGCGGTGTCCATTCCTTACAATCTGGAAGCCATGTATAGTGATTTGGTACTTGTGCAAATGTCAGCTTCCTGGCCTTAGAATCGCGACAATTTAGTGCAAACCATTCAGTAAGATGCGTCTTGCCTGCATTGGGATTTCCCAGAACATTCTTCACATTTGCTTACTTCTTGTAGGGAATTTTTTGGTGTCCATCTAAATGCACCCCAAGTCTAACCACTGCTGGCTCCCTAACATGTATAGGATATTCATTTAACTTCCAAATAGCTTCATACGATGATAATGATCTGCAGTCGATGAACTCTTGAATTTCATCTTTACGCTTAACTGCAGATGGCACTTGATCATTGTTTGATGAGGTTTCATTTTCAGCAATAACCATTGATCGATCTGGGCCCTTTGTAACGTATTTGAACAGGTACTTGATCAACTTCCCCTTGTGGCACACTTCAACATTAATATGTGCCTGCAAGCGAACCAGCAGATTTCTGTTAAATGGCACGACATGACGATTATCCAACAAAGAACTTCCCTTTTGTATTTGAATTCCAGAATTCGTTCGTTTGTAGATGACATTGCCAAACTTGTCAAATGTTGTGGCTGAGTTGAACTCTTTAGGGAAGTGCTTGCCACACTTGCCACTTGTTGTGCATTTCCTATCTCGCATACATGGTGCGCCTGTGTTTGCTTCTCCGCAAGGGCCATGTAGCATATATTTTACAACAGCCTCATATCCTAGAGGATCCACTTGAGGGTCTGGAATTTCAGCCGAAATTACCTCATCTATATCTGCTGTTGTGCTCAATTTATCTTCAGCTGCAAGCCACACCAATAGGTGTATATGAGGAAGGCCTCGTTTCTGGAATTCAACTGTGTACATGACTGCACTTCAACAACTATGTTAGTTAGCTGAGTCCATTCAAACACCGATGAGATACAAAAAAACACAGGGAAACATAACAGAAGGTTGACCCAAATGGCTGAAAATAAATGAACAAATGACTCACTTGCAAGTGTTTTCCCGAAATATGATTCCCTCTTGATGTCATCGATCAATATGTTTAGTTTGATGTGAAATACTCTCGAGACCACCATTGGCTTATCCGAGCTGTTTGGTCCGACAATTGAATCGAATGCTTCTGTGATTTCTTCCCACAATGCATTACATGTGAAAGTTATGAAAAGATCAGGATTGCCAAAGAATTCAACAACTGCCATTACATCATGATAGAGTTGTTGCATGTATCTTGGGCTGCCAATGTAAGTCCCTGGAAGTATCACATGTCCAAGCTTGTCACCATCGAGATCACCACGCGCCATCGCATCTTGTAGGCCCTGATATACCTCTGCCCTCAGTTCTGGCTGGTGATAACGTAAAAAAGCAAGGCGATTCAGCTCCACAGTAGAGAAAGCATCTATACAATAGTGTTTTAGCGCTTTGCCTGCTTGGAGAATTGTATGGCCTTCATTTTGACGGAACTGTAGTCTGAATGCATAGTATTCTCGCTGGGTAACAAACTGTCTTCGCATGGAAGGAGGGCAGAATGTTGGGTTGTACTTGATGAGTGGATGATATCCATCTTCTCCGTATGGAAACAACAAAGGGAAGTGAAGGGCCTCGAACTTGGGATTTAAGCTGGTTATGCGTTTTAAGCCATCATAAATATGATCAACAATGATATCCCGATCATCTCTATCGGGAATAAAGTCACCAGGGATTAGTGCTACGATGTCAGAACTCGTCGGCAAATCATATTGCCTATTCCTGCTCTTTGCACCAAAGATTCTCAGCTTCAAAGTTGGCGTGTCGGAGTCATGTAGCTGCTGACGAACCCTCCTAAATGTCTTGACCAGTTCATTGTGCTCGTCAAGCATCCGCAGCAGAGAAGTAAGTAGCTCGGGCAATAGTTGTGCCTCACAGGAGGCAAAATTTGATAACCTGTGGTTCATCTCATTTTCTGGTTCAAAAATATACAGCTGCGCAAACTTTGGCTTTTCCCCGGCAGGTGGCAGCAAAGAGCCAATTCGATGATAGTTTTCGCCACATATGACCATTGAATAAGGACCCCTGCTTGATAACGATCTAGGGTCTATTGTAGCTCCAAATTATGTAAAGCACAACGAGCCATTGTAGGGTCGAATATTGTCTCTGAAATGCTTGGACATAGGAGAACCTCCAACCTGCAGCAGCTCTGCCAACAGAGTTGGTGGTTATTTCAAAAATGGCAAAGCAACTCTTCCTTTTTGACAACATGATGCATATATCGGGGTAGTTTTATTCCTGCGTCTATTCAATCTTTCGAGATACCATAACATAGCTCCGCAGTATTTGCAGACACTCTCTGGCTTGCCTATCTTCAAAATATCTGTATGCAAGTGCATCCTAGCAGGTGCAGTGTGTTTCTTTTTTGTTTGTGTAGCAGCATACTGATCTTGCTGTGCAGCATCATCTGAATAGGGATCTTTACTTGGGCCAACAGCCTGCGTTTGATTATCAGAAAAGGCATAATCCCCTTCTGGCAAATAAACTGGTGTGCGGGTCAAGTGATGACTGGCATTTGGCTGTTCATATTCGGAAAGGGTAGCAGGAACTGACTTGTTGATGAATCATGCCATGGCTCTAAATGCCTTGCTCTTTTCCTTCTCAAACTCTGTTCCTTCGTCCTGTTTTTTCTAGGAGTCATCGCTGCACAATAAATGCAAACAACAATCAATTGAAGACAGGCACAGAATTCATTGCTGCGTCCCAAAATAATGGCTGGTGCATCATAAATTTGATTGCAAAGAAATAAATGACTTGATGTTTCTCACATGGAGCATGAAAGTATGGCTTCTCCTTGGAGCGAAGACAACTGACTTGATATGCAAGGTAATAAAAGCAGCTACAGAAGTCTCCCTGGAGATTAAGGTTCTTAGTATCCAACAATGAATGCTGCATGAGTTTTCTGCAACAAAACTGAAGGTTCCATCCTTGGCTGGTTTAGTGTAGAAGATGGCAGAGGAATGACATATTATGGGGACCTGTGAAACCACAAGTTTTTGAATAAATGGGGGCTGCATTTAATGGTAATCCCTAATGATTAGACACCCACTTGGTATCAAAGAAGACGTTTTTGGCAGCAATCATTATAAAAACTGAGGGGCATTTAATGCCAACAATGATCCTCACTTAAGCACTCTGATGACCAAGCCATGAGATAGGGCGATGAATGAATCCTTCAAGTGGATCAAAGAACAACTGTCAAGATGGAAGTGCAACATTTAGAATTCATCACCAAACAAAATTTGCAAACACTAATTGACCGAGAGCAAATAATTGGGTACTCTTGGCCAGCAATTATTAATAACATAATTCTTAATTTCAAAGCCTGTCCTTGTAAAGCAACACAAAACTTAGCAAATGGTGCATACATGTTCGTTTCATTTCATGGCACCTGAGTCTTCCAACAAGCGCAACACAACAATGTAACAGTCGCAAAATAGATGCTACAAACAGTTACACCTAAGAGAAGCACATAGACCACATCGCATTAAGTAGGCATTGTTGATAATCACATTAAGCAGCACATATACAACCGAGAACAAATAGTTCCACAAAATGTTAGCCTTTCTAATTCCATACCAAGAAACGACTATTCATCATTGTTTTGTTCTAGATAACCCCCAAATACACCCTTCCTATCCACAGCCGCTAAGTGTTTCCCTTGCCCCCATCACATATAACATCATATAAGGGCATATACATACATAAGTGAATCACCTTCAAATGTAGACAGGTCTTTGCACAGGGCAAGGATTAAAACAAAGGCAAACCCAAAATTACAACCATCCTTACAACCAACCCCTAAACAACACAAAAGACAGCAAACCATCTCCTCTGAGTAAGAATCTACACATCACCAAAGACTCCAACCCAGAGCTGTGCTGAAGCCTACACACTGGAAAAAAGATGTTTCGCAGTTTGGAACAATGATCAGCACAAAACTGTGTCAACAATGAAGAAATAGTATGTATCCCAACCAGTAGCAAACACATCCCACAAATAGAGAGGAACAATGACATGCAAAAGATATTTACCCTTAAATTCATTCCTTGAACAGACTACGTTTAGCATATGTTTTCTTGGAGACCTCTAAGGAGTCCCCGCCGATCCCAATGTTAAATGGTTTTTGTGCACCACAACTTTCTGGAGTAGACCTCTCATTGTCATCTAGCTTTTCAACCTTGATCTTTGCCAGTGGAGAGAGCAACCTGAGACAACAACTAATTTTTATGAGACAAGTGCACAAAAAATGTAAACGAAACTGAGTAATTTAAAAGCAAGCATCAATGCATATACTACGCACAGGGAAGCTGAAGGTGAGGTTGGCACATATGCAGGAACCTTCCCAGGGGAAGAGGCAGAATCAGTCTTCAAAACCTTCATAGATACACCACCCAAAGGAGGGTTCACATCCCTTGTTTCTGCAGAATTCCCAGGTGCAGGAAGCTGTCCTGAACTTGGAGAGACTATCGCACCAACTGCAGCACTTCCTTGCTGAGGCAAAGCAGATGTAGCAGGCAAGGCAACTGCAAGCATTGCCTCATCAGTCGGCGCGACAACAGGTGGAGCAGGCTGTAAATTCTGTGGCAACTGAACTTGGACATGACCAGTTGCAGCGGCAAGAGCACTGTCGAAAACACTGTAAATTAAATAGAGAAGCACACTGGCAATAAAGAAGGAATTAAGAGAGCACAATCAACCGACATAAAAAAAACAACTCAACATGATAGAAAGCAGCAAGCAACCTAGACACAGGAATTGGCTGGGAGCCAATACAAAAAGCAGGAGCTGAAGCTTCAATTAATGGTGAGTCCACACATTTGCCTTTACCCTTTTCTTCACGTGAAAGCCTGCCCAAGAGAAATAACCACAAAACCAAAAAAAGCAAGTTACCAATGAGCAAAAAAGTTGGGTAAAATCTTCCAAATGCCTGGGAGGACAAACAACCTTGAGGAACTTGCTCCAATATTAGATGGCTCTGAGAACTGAACTCCCAACGACACAGAAGGCGTGGCCTGCGGCACAATCTGTATAGGAGCTGGCAGAGCCAACTGAGGAGGGTGCTCAATCAATCCAGCAACCACAGTAGGATCGTTAATCGGAACCACTTGAGCAACGCGGAATTCCCCGGATGAAAAGACAGCTTTTGTAGATTTAAACTCGTGCACAACGCGGAATTCCCCGGATGAAAGGATAGCTTTTGTAGATTTAAAAAAAATCAAAAGAAGCTTTTGTAGATTTAAAAACTAACCAAATTCGAGTTTAATCCTTGCTCAACTGCCAGTCAGTTGGGCACCAAAAAGTGTTGTCACGGCGGCGTGAAGCAGCATGATTACAGATGCGGCAAGAGTTGTAATACCAAGGGATGTTCTCCTCAACATCCACTATCACACCACTGCAACGATGTTTTTCTTCCTGAACAACGCAGAAAGTAAAACAATATTAGGTAGAGGCTGCGAAGCAGAGACAAAATAAAGCCTGCGAGTAGACAACGGGCAGTACCAGCGAAGCATTTGTCTGTGAAAGGGCTCTGAGCTGTGCTAGGGTCTTTGTTCGTCGCGTTGCATCCTCTGCAGCTGCAACAGCAGTTGCAAACTCAACAGGCAAGGAACAAACACCCTCACGCCTCTCCGCAAACCTAAACATACAACACAATAACAAATAGAAACCTAAGTAAAGTCAAGAAACCTGATGGAAAAAGGTACAACGGGCAGCGAGAGCATTAGCATAAAACGGACCTGGTGACCAGATGATATGCCTTCGGTACTGAAGGATTGGCAGCAATTCTTGTGGCAGCTGAACTGGATAGGACATAAGCAGCTGATCCCAAGAAGAAATTAAAATAAAAGGAGGAAGCAGAACGCACAAAACAGGTAAAGCAGCTCAGACCGACGCCAAATCGATGTACTCACCCCCTAACTTGTTGACCAAAAGGCCGCCAAACGCAAAAATCACCGACTCAATCGCATCTGCTTGAGTCAAGGCCACATGATTCAGGATTTGTGAGAATTCATCCCACAGAGTCACCGTCGCCTTCTCCCCACTGCATACTTCGTGGAAGAAGCAAATTATGGGTCAGGAAGGGGAAAAACCAAAACCGTAAACCACATTAAAACACAGGTGCGAACAGGAGAAAAAAAATCGAGGGACCACCTTTCATCCTCCACGACAACCGTCTGCTTGACTGTTGGCCCATTATTTGTGATTTTGTGAGAAACTCCACTGATTGAGTGCAAACGGCCAACAATGTCTACACCAGTACAGATGACCACATAAGGACCAGACACATGGAACACTAGGCAAAAAATAAAGTGGAGTGCGAGAATAATCTACGCCCACCTGTCAAGAAACGATGATCACCAGCACGTGTAGGCAGGGATTCGAACGACAGTAACAAAGTCGCCGGTGTGACACCTAGAGATAAGTCAAAAGAACATGCCCGATATAAATTTGGCGGGTTGCCAAGACCAAAAGACTTGAAGACATATATCTTCCCAGCATGTAAGGCATGGGGAATGGCAGCCGCCATGGAAGGAGGTGAGAGGCCTTAAATCAATGTTCCCTGGAGAACACCAGCCAACAGAAGTAGTCAGTCAAATAGCGATGCAAAGAATTGAGAAACAACAGGAAAGGGAAAAAGAGGTCAGACTGTTTCGTCCACCCAGAGTGTGCAGTAGTTGAAAACCCTAACATCACCGGGAGACTTTGCAGGCCACATATGGAGCAGGCGCAGGCAAAGCGTCACACCACATTTGCGCGGGCCGGCGAGATTACAGGCAGCGTGTGTTCCATCTTGACAACCGAAACCAAGCAATCGCCGGAATAACTGGTCAGAGAAAAAGATGAAAGAAAGGAGAGCAAAGATTGAGAACGGATAGAGAGAAGTTGGGACAAAAACTCGCCTGGCTGTGAAGGAGGAAAGAGGAAGGCATATACCTTGGGTATGGCCACTGAAATAGAAGAGCACATGTGGTGGAGGCGCAAGGCAGGAAGCCATCGCATCAAATGTCAT